TGTGGTCGGAGCCCCAGGGTGCCTCTCCCCACGAGCCCGCCACTGCCGCTGGGTTCGATGGTGACGCTGAAAATTACCAGGGAGTTGTGAGGGTGACTCTGGGAGCATTTCCGGGCTCAGTTACCGTATTTTCTTTGCCTCCAGTAGAGACACGGGTCTACTCAAGGATTTTTCCTTTCTCATTTACATGGAAAAATCTGGTGAAGACATGCACTCAGTTACTCTCAGCTGGGCATTAGCAGGTGTGGAGACTGAGGTAGTCACGGGCTGTGAGAATTGCCCCGGAGACCCCGGACCCCTGGCCATGAGGAAAGGAAGGCCTTCTCGCCAGAGCACCTGCTGAAGGCTCGCGGGGGCCTGTGCCCCAGAGGGACCCCAATAAGGGCCTGCATGGGGCCTAGCTACAGTGCATGCGGCTCTCACACCCACAGGTGGTTCTGACACATGGCCTCCCGGGACACAGCTCCGGAGGCAGCAGGAGCGTGCCAGGCCCAGCCTGGGGCCCGGGCACAGAGTCTGGACCCCAGCATGTGCTCCTTCTAGGTTGGACTTCAGATCCTGCCAGTCGATGGCAACCCGCACAAGACAGCCGCTATCGTGTGCCACCCGAGCGGGGTGGCAGGAATGGCCCTTTCCTATGACGGCTGCTACGTCTTCACGGCGGGAGGCCTCGACCGCTCCGTGGTGCAGTGGAAGATCAATGTGAGGTGCGTGATGGGGTGAGGCCCTTGCCCCGTAAGGGAGGTGAAGACCCCCACGTGGGAGAGCAGGATGTCACGTCTGTCCCCTTCTCCATCATCACGGAATCTGGAGGATAGAGATTGACTAAAAATGAACACTTTTCCAAACAAGAAAAATGAATAAAGCTCCCAATAGCTTTCCTGGTCTGGCTGGAACCCGGACTTCTGAGAACTTTGATTTCCCAGATGGGGACACGGTCATTGTAAGCTAACCGGCACGTCATCGCTGCTCTGGCGGCCTAAGGAGTTCAGCACTTCCCTGATGGAGAGAGATGGGAACCCTAAACACGTGAACAGACAGAATTCCCCACTGGATTTCCCAGGGCCGGTGGGAGGGTGCCCGAAGATGGAAAATGACCCCCTCTCGTTCTATTTAATCCTTGCACTCTAGGCCTGACTGCTCTTGGGGAGCTGCTTGCCCACAGAGCCCCGCCCTGCCCACCGGGGAGCTCTTCCATTCGCCCCTCCCCTCTCCCCTTCTCTGCAGCATGCCGGCCTGTCTTCTTTGGCATCAGTTTTAAAATTTCCCACTACTTTGTTTTAAAAGTTTATTTATTCCTGGGGCCAGCAGGTGGCGTAGTGGCCAAAGCGCTAGACTCCACATGGTCGGCGGATTTGAGTCGTGGGCCTAGTGGCTTGCTCTCTCACTTTCCCACTCTCTTGCTCTCTGCTGAGGACATGCGCCCTATAGCAAATTAAATAATTATAATAATAAAACAAAGTAATTATTTATAAAAAAAAGTTTCTTTCTTTCAAGGGAGAGAATGAGTGAGAGAGACAAGTACGCTCCATAGAGTCTCGTCCATGCCTCTCCCCACCTCCAGGCCCCCGGCCAGCCAGGGTCTCGGCATGCCCACGGGCCCACCTGCCTGCTTAGGTAGATCCAGGGTCCGGACCTGGGCCTTCCCACGGGGCTGCAGCCCCCTGCACCCCTCCCCATCACTCTCTGCTCCCTGGAGCCCGGCTCAGACAGGTCCCCAACGTCTCCATCAACTCGCTGGGCGGCCTCATGCAAGTCCCTTCACTCCGAGTCTCCGTTTCTCCATCTGTCGAATGGGAGTGCCGTGTGAGGGTGGTGGTCACTGCCACCGCCGTTCCTGCCATGCCTGGTCCTCCTCGGGGAGCATGCTGGGCACGTCCTCCGTGCTGGGCACGGCGTGGCTCCCCAGACATGCTGCACGTGTGGCTGCCGTGTCACCCGGACCGCCCGGTAAAGCCAA